CCCCGCCACCAGAGTCCTATTCCTTGTTTAGATTAAGAGCTGCATTATGAATATGCCTGGTGTATGGAGGGTAACACCCTAAATTGGACAGACCTTTATAACACAAGTGGATATTAATTACTAACTAGCTATTAGGAAGCACCCAGAATTCAGTGATAAAATATAATGAACTCTTTAGAGCTGGTTGCAGTGGATTTATGCTTTGATTATGGGCTGCTTCTCTGACAGAGTTTGTGCGCAAATTTGTGGCACTAATTTGGTTTCCAAGGGAAAACAACTGCAGATAGATTCATAGATGCTAGGGTCAAAAAGGACCTCAATGGGTCATCGCGTCCGACCTCCTGCCAGCGGCAGGAAAAAGTGCTGGGGTCACGTGACCCCAGCCAGGTGGTTGTCCAGTCTCTTCTTGAAGACCCCCAAGGTAGGGGAGAGCACTTCTTCTCTTAGACACCCAGTTCAGATTCTGGCAACCCTAACAGTGAAGAAGTTCTTTCTGATGTCCAACATAAATCTAAATCTAAATGGATTATGTGGGGTCCAGGGTTACATGTGAAGCCAAGACAAACAAGTGGATGCAGATGTAGAACAAAAATGTAGCAGAAATTAGTTTTGTCATGTTAAATAGATATCGTGGAACCTTTTGTATCTGCACCTGGCGAGTTCCAAGTGGCTTATAGCCAGGTGATGGGACATAGACTCTAACGCACAGAGCTCAGTCACAGGTTCATCATCCACCACAAAAGAAATTAAAAATAACATTTTTAAACCAGCAAATCCGCTGAAAACACTCCTCAGTCCTGCCATCCCTTGTTTCGTCTGCTCATGTAGCCAGCGCCATCTGAGCTGGAGGAGTCTCTCAGTATTCGCTCTACAAATCCATTTTTTTCAGGCATATCGTAACTAAAGAAGTCTCATTAGTAAGACAAGCCAGGAACAATGGGAGAGGGATCGACTGGCAGTGGCTTTGTTCTTCTCTGTTAATTCTGCTTTTGGCAAGACAGGCAAAAAAAAATAAAATTATAGCTTCCTAAAGCTCCAGTAATTGTAAAAGTGGTGTTTTCTAAAAATGCTCATCTCTTGGCTCCTTATTCAAAAGGCTGTATTTAAATATGTATTGTGTCCACATCTGTTACCTGAATGGTACAAGGGATATATAATGCCTCCCTACTTGATGGGAGGCTGTGAAAATTAATGCTTGGAAAGTGCTTCCAAGCTCTGAATTTCAAAGCACTACAAGTGTATGTGACCATTATTATTTCAGAGCCATTTTCATTTAGAACGGTCAATTGTAGTCTGGCTCCATTGCAGATCAGCGACCACACTGGGGAGATGACAGTTCAGCAAAGGTTTAAAGCATGAGAAATTCTGGCTGCCGGGAGCAGCTGTCAGCTGAATGACTAGAATATCTGATTTAGGTTGTTTCCTCCCCTTTTAACTGATTTTGATGCAGTTTATACCCCAGGTCAGATTTACAACGTATAGGACTACCAAGTCTTTGCTGCCCCCCCACTCCGGGGTATTGTGATGGGGAACACTGCTGAATGCTTCTTGCTAGCCATGTGTCTAAAGAGAAGCATTAATTGAAGCCTAAAGTGAGCTGAGTCTCCTCTGCTCATCGTGTCGGCTTGCCTGATTTTCCTACATTGCCTTGCTGCTGTTTGCATTCCTAATATGGGCTAGTATTAGTGCTGCTCTGGACTGCGTGTTGTAAAACTCCGGGTTGCTGGGACTTCACTCTGAACATTCTGCACTTTATAAGTCCTCCGGCATTAATAGGGGAAGAGGAGAGTAATGAGCCAGAGATCTTTCATAAAATGAGCTTTATAAAATTGCAGGAGCTCTTGAGAGCCCATGTGCTGACTGAGCCCTCTCTGTTTTCAGGCTCATAAAATCAATGTGATAGGGATATGTTTCAAAGAGGGCCTGCGTATCACCCTGCTAGGCTGGAGAGCCAGGTTCATGAGTGGCTCAGCTGCCTTCTGCTTCAACCAGACCCGGCGGCCACTGGAATGCAGATTGGACACTGTTCTGTTATACAACATGTGTGAACCCTTCCTGAGGCACTTCTGCACTCTGCAGTGGCCTCACTGAGGATGGGTGGTGGAGATGGGGCATTTGACGGGCTCCTGACCACCTTCAAATAAAGGGAACCATGCAAAGGCAGGTGAAAGGTGATTATGAAAAACATGAGCTGAAAGTCAGATGGGAAGGGTGTGGTGGCAACCGTGGGATTCATGTGTGCTAACAGGATTTCTCCTCTATTCCCAGGGAGCAGATTGTTCTATGGGACGTTACGGGACATTAAATCTCCAGTCGGATTCTTCAGAGGGGTTGGTGGTCTTGTAAAATGAATAAGTAAAGCAAAACAGCAGTCCCTCATCCCTCCCCTGAGCTCTGAATGTTTGCAGCTGGTACTTGGTGGCAGAAAGGTCTTACATATGTGGAGGAGGGTCAGAGCGAAAGGAGGAAGTCCCAGCTTAGAAGAGAGAGACTAGGAGGAAATTAAAATAAAGAAATGGACTATGCCAGCAGACACAGGAATTTTGCTCAAGTCCCCTACTGGTCTCTGTGCTAAATCTTACTCAAATCCTTAAATCTAACAGCAGCAAAAGAAAAAAAACAAGCTTGTGGCCAGGGTAAAGCAAAAAATCAGAAGAATCTCTTCCGGCTTAATCAGTGATTCTTTACAGAGGGATCAGACTTTCTTCCATGGATACATTAATAATTGCATTAACTCAACAGCATTCAAGGCTTGCTGCAGAGCCCTGCTGAATTGCGTATATACGTTTAATGTAAAATGAAGGCACCCGTCTATATTTTCTTCTATCTGTCCATACTAAACTAAAAGAAGCAGCTGTGTTGAGATGCTGACAACCCACATTTGAGCAGTACTTTTTCCACCCAACAGCCCGCAAGGAGTCAGCAGCTCTGACCATCATGTTAAGTATTTGCAGGCTTCATTATCCTGGTTTACAGGTGTAGTCCTCAGTCTCATTCACCCTAAAAAGCTGGGCGCCAGTTCCAAATGTGCCTGGTAAAGCTTTAAGTACCCAGTAGGGCAGCTATTTTAGAGAGACCCTCTTTTTGCTTAGGGACAGGAAAGAAGATAGATCCATTAGACTGTGGACATAGGAACAGAGACATGTGAATTTGCATAGCATAAACCTAGAGCAAATTGCCGCGGAAGAGCCACTCAGATGAGCAGGCTGAACGTTGAAGTCAGTGCTTGAAAGTATGAGAAAATGGCTCCTGATCCATCCAGAGGTAACTGCCGCTGGTCGAACATGGTTATCCCACTTTTAAGGGCTGCATCACGTGTGTGTGCATATATATATATACACATACACACACATTGAGGCAGCTTGACTTTTTATGGAATAACTCATTCCATGAGTCTGTCATCTTAGCTTCCAAGTCCTCATTGCCTAGAGGATTTCCCTTTTCACTGAGCCGGCAAGCGACTATCACTGTCATCCAATACAAGGTGCTTCTCAAAGGGATTCTAGAGTTGTAGGGGAAGGCATTGTTTCAGCTTTAAAGCTAATCTCATGTAGTGGTAGTCTCCAGAACCAGCCACCATGGTACATAGAAACTTCTTTTTTTTCCCTCGTACTCCTCTTCTGTTTTTTCTCCAACAACCCCCCTTTTCTCCTCTCTCCTTCAGGTGTCTTGAGGAGGTCTCAGAAGCCATATAATCCTTTGTTCCAAAGCACGGCATCATGTCAGCCCTTTTTAGCCAGAAGAAAAAAACTAATTTTAGTCTCAAATCTGGGTCATTGCTAGAGGTGGGGGGCAATTTTCCACCATTCCCTGTCCTTTTTTGTCTTTTCTCTATCCTTTGTCTTCCCCAGTATCCCAAAGAGCAGACATGCAGTACCTGTGAATTGGTTCTTCTCTTCCTCTGAACCTGGGATGTAGTTACCATCACAAACTCGGCCTTCCATCTAAAAGGGCCTTCTCTACCAAGATGCAGTTGTTGACAATGGATCCATAAAATAAGCTATTGTTCACACTAGAAATCCCAGAAGGGTTACTTTCATCTGGCACTATCTGATTCTTTAGGTGGTTTTAGGTGATATTACCTATTGCAGCCAGCTTTGCATTGATTTACAGATAAATCCATTAAAATATATATAATTTTAAAATGTGAAGAAAATGTCAAAAGATTGTGGTGATCAAAAGCCAAAACAGTGGTTTCTTGTTAGTTGTGCAACACTTTCCCCAATGAGCCAGTGAAGGCAGCCTGGCTAGCAAGGGAGATTTAACTTTAAGAATGACAATTGTTTTTGGTGGAGTTAATTTGCAGCCTTAGATGTCATCTGGCCTGTTGGTAATACCTTGTACATCGTGAGCAGTCCAAACAATTTGTAGCAGGCCCATCTCTGTAGGCCCAGCCCTGCCATGGAGGCAGTGGGGCCATGGAGAATCACTAGACTCGGAAGTTGATTTGGCTTCTTTCCACTTTCCCAGTGTGGGAGATCGGGGATTTGGTCCCCTCTCTTCCAGCATTGCTGATGAGGGGTCTCAGCCTGTTAACTGAAGAGTTTGCCTGGGGCTTATCTTTCTATAGAGTGGATCTTCTCCAGAGAGAGAAGCGAGTAACGTGAGCACTGTAGCCCTTCTCACTGTGGTCAGCCATGGCGTGTGCTGGCAGTTACGTTCTCAGGGAATAGATGCATTTGTGAGTCGTAAGAGGGCAGGAGGAAATACTTACTCGTGAGCAATGACTGCCTGTCGTCACCTCTAAGTAGACCGCTGTTTAGATTCAGCAGTGCCATGCCATGACCACGTATGCCTCTCACCTGACATGTGTTGTGTTACTGTGTCTCTTGCGGTGACTGTTACTTTTAGCATCTCAAGAAGCTTTAGAAGTGGTTTCTTCCAGCCATCATTGTAACTGGCAGTTTGGTCTGTGTCAGGCAGATGGTTATGCTGGTCCCTGAACACTGATAACTGTGTTTAAATGACCCATGTTCCTCTTTCTTTTTTCCCTTCTCTAGTATTAACAACAAACTACAACAGCCAGAGGCAGCAGCAGGAGTGCTGGAGTATGCCATGAAACACTTTGGAGAGCTGGTGAGTCCCAATTGCTTGGACTGTCGTTCTAAAACACATTTATGTGTCTCGTCTTGCCATGTGTGAACGTGTACTCTTTCCTTGCATTTCTGCTCTTCCCTGTCGCATATCTTTAGCTCCCATTCGTGTAATTTGCACAATGCAGGGATCAATTCGGGGAGGTAACTGTGTGAAAGGTAATGGTTCTTGATTTTGGGCCAAAGACCGCTGCCGTTCCTCAAAGCCATGGTAAGTGCTCTGCAAATCATCCCACCTCCACCCCATTTTCAAATTAAAGTTTGATACCAAGGCTTAAAAGTAGTAATTTGGCTCCCAGAGTTTGAGAACCCAGGCTCCCCAGTGGACAGGGGCTCAAACTAGGTGATCTAGTTTCATTGATGTCATAGATTTTTAGGGTCGGAAGGGACCTCAGTAGATCATCTTGCCCAACCCCCTGCCTTGGGCAGGAAAGAGCACTAGGATCAGACAACCCCAGCCAGGTGCTTGTCCAATCTCCTGTTGAAGACCCCCAGGGTAGGGGAGAGTACTACCTTCCTTGGAAGCCCGTTCCAGATTCTGGTAACCCTTACCGTGAAGAAGTTCTTCCTGATGTCCAACCTAAATCTCTTCTCTGTCAGTTTGTGACCCTTGTTTCTAGTCACCCAAGGGGTGTCCTGGTAAACAAAGTATCTCCTATTCCCTGCTGCTCCCCAGCCCCATCTGGCTTTAACTCTATGTATATATGAAAATCCTAGTGCAGGGGAAATCCATTTTGGGGTCTCGGAGCAGGATAAGAAGGTAGGGAACATGTCTGTAAAGCATTTTTCAAAGGACAGTGGAAGCCACAGAAAATTATAGAGAGGAGGGTAGTTGGGCAGGAGGATCCTCAGTTCAGGAGACTACTGAATGTTTCAGAGGAAGAACTTCCATTACCTTCTACCTGACAGATAAATCCCTATTTGGATGAAAAGGTGCTGTTGTAAAAGCAATTGCATTCATTTTTCTGCTCGTAATTCATAGTCAGTGTAGAGATCACCTCTAGAAATTTTTTTGTGAATTCTGCAGCTTACTTCTTATTTGTTGAACAGGGCACATGGCTTAAACAGACCTTCAGCTGTCATGGATTTTGCTTTTAAGGTGTGATAAGCCTCCAAACAGTAGCCAGAACTTCTCTGTAGCGCTTGACACATTTTAATGAAACACTAGAAGTAATGGGGTAGGAAATGCTGAGGATATCTGACAGATCTGTGACTTGGCCGCAAACGTGATTGTCCGGTGCAGAGTGAGGAAAGGCATCATATGCTGTCTTGGGTATACAGCATCTGCAATTGAATTAGTGCAGTGCAATTTCACTGTAAATCTCTTGGACAAAAATGCTGGTCTCTTCCGCCTCGCATTTTTTAAACCCTTCATAAATTCTCCTCAGAAAGCGTAGGGTGTGACTACATGCGTCCTACTGAGATTGGATTCTCTCCCCAAGGACTACATTTTTAATATGCCACAGCTGTGAAAAACGTGGCAGCATAGGTGATTCAAGCCCTGCTTGCAGGCACATGTACTGCGAACCCAGCTATCTGGGCCACATATCCATTGAACTTACTTTCAAATGAAAGGCAGCCGAGAGCGCATCCATCTGGAACTGAGCCCCAGACTTAGGTGGGGCTAGTCCAGTGGCAGAGTGGAGACTGAACTTAGTGTAAAGGCTAAGGCTAAAACAATTGACTTTGTCTGCTATAGCTTGGGCTACTTTTAATCCACCTAGTTAATGGTTCAAATTTTTTGAAAAGCTCAGCACCTGCACCTTGTGTGAACTTTAGTTAGGTGCTTAGGAACTGGAAGAAACAATACTCTTACAGGCTGGGAAGGGATTGACATGCTGGACTCATGTATTTTGGCAGGTGCTCAGGTACTGTAAAAACAGGGCCAGATAAGATTTTACCAAGTGTTGTCCTTCTAACTGCCCCCATCTTCCCCTTCCCAAAGTGAGCACAGAACCCTACCCTCGAATCTTGCTAAGAGTCCTTTAAAATACCAGCTCCATCAGTCCACTGCCATTTTCCACACTTACTGAAGCAATAAATGATGCTGCCCTCCTCAAGCTACTCTGTAGTTTTCTTTGCATTTCTTATCCCTTAAAATTAAAACTGTTCATTTGCATTCAGGGATGGAAGTCTTCTCTACCCTCCCACCTCTCCTAGCCTGGTCCAGAGGTTGGCATCTCTGGGGCACATTTCATAGTGCTCTGGGGATGTTTCTCTACAAAAGGGGAGGCAGCAGTGGACAAACCTCCCTTTTGTAAACTGACCCATCTAATGGGGGCCATTGGGGAATGGGTGTATCACAGTAGATGTGAGTGCACCAGCGGTGGGATGGATTGACTGAATCCTCCTAGTGTTAGGTAAAGTCTGGCCCCAGGTTGGAGACCGGGCTCTTTCTAGTGAGCAAAATGATTTCAGAAAGTCCGTGCAGCTGTCCCCACTTTCTTCAGGGGAGCAGGCAGAGCCCCCTGTTACTTCATTCAAACTTTGCTTTTGAAGGATAACGTCATTGTAATCAAAATGGCCAGAAAGCATTTGCCTGAGCACTCAAGAGGAGGGCTGGAGAGAGGACCTTTTGAATAAACTTTCTTTAAAAATTTATATAACATTCCCAAAAGGTTTGCAACCCAGTTGCTCTTTAACAAGTTCAGAAGCAGATGGGGAGCTGGAAACCCAATGCTCAAGGCCCCAGCATTCACAATTCACGTGGAGGGCACTGAAGTGCAGTGTGTAGTGTATCCTACCTGCTGCCCACAGGGCTGTAAAAAGAATCCATTTTCTGGCATGTGTCAAAACAAGAGCTGCCAAGGACTGAGCAGAAAAGAACATTGGCAGGGAGTCCTGCCTGGAAAAAAAAACCTTAACATTCAAAGCAGATTTTTATTTCCTGAAAACTAAAGTGGACATAGAAATCAACAGTTTAAAGAACGATTGGTGCAGCCGAGATAAGGATCTTCAGTTAGTTGGCTTATTTTTTTGTAGCCTGTCTGGAAAACCACGTTCTTTCTCCTATGAGGGTCATCAAGAATTAGTATTCACTGGGTGACCGTGCAGATGCCTTGAACTGCAAGTGAACTGAGCATTCCAGGAAAAAGCTACCATAATTGTCAGTGGGTGGTGGTTGCTAATCTTGGGGTTTCTTCTTATTTTCCTCTGCTCTACAGGAAATCCAAGCTACCTGGTATGAGAAGCTCCATGAGTGGGAGGATGCACTTGTGGCTTATGACAAAAAGATGGACACAAACAAGGATGATCCTGAGCTAATGTTGGGACGTATGCGTTGCCTGGAGGCTCTTGGTGAATGGTAAGAGGGGAGGGGAATTCTGAAGATCAGGAAAAACCTGGTTATCTTAAGTAGTCTTTCCAGTCTGAATTAATACCAGACCTAGTTTCCTCCTGTATTTTCTCCTTTTCGCTTTTAAAGTCTTGCCTGGCAAATTATTTCACATATAGCACCCTCAAGGGGGAAAACATCTTCCCTGGATTCCTATTTTATTTGTACTTTCCTAATGCTTGGAGAGTGTCCATTTCCTGCTCACTGTGTTCATTAGGGCAGCACCTTGGGGCCGATGTTGGAAATCAGCTGTCTGAGCCTTTTAGGAGGAGGAGCTGTCTGATGTGCCAAGTTCAGCCAGAAAGAGGCTGTCAGCTCTCTTCCTCCTGTCCTCATGAGGGACAATATCAGTGGGGAGCTCTGGGGAAACATCACTGAGCAGCATAGACCAGAACCACCCTCCAAAATCATGATGCACAAGGCAGAGCGCAGCATTTGTGTACTCCTGTTCCCACCTGGAAGGCACAGATTGCTTTAGGCCATTTGCAAAGTCACCTACTTGCCAACAGCCACCTGAATGAGTCTATGCCAAGCCAGGGCTTCCATTTGAAACCCCTCACCAGGTCTGGCCATGTTTCTTTCATCCTGACCTGTTTCAGCATATGTTAGGGTTTTTTGTCCTTCTTGGCATTCCCTGTCATAAGCAGTCTGTGCCTTTGGCTTAAGAATTGTTAGAGTCAGTTTCCACCAGAGACCTGTTAGAGACTGAGAGACTCGCCCATTAGCCAAGCACCTTTGCTTTTCCCCAGGCTCATTCTGAGTCACAGAGTCTAATTGGGGAAGACAGGCCCTGTGCACTGCAATGCTCAGCTCTGCCGGAGGGCACGACAACTCTGCGCTGGTCCTGGCCTTCTGCCTCTGCTGAGCTGCTCATGTCCGTAGGACTGTGTGCTGATGGGTCCTGATATGTAGTGGAGGATGACACGCTGGGAAGGAGATTCTTTATCACTGAGGACTTTGTGCTGCTAGGTAAACTGATTGCCTGGAAACTGTCCTGAGCTGCCTGAGAAGCCCCAAAATCTAACAGCATTTTTGCTCTCCTGCTGCCTGAATTGAGTTTTTCTTTCCACATCAGGAAAAATGGAGATTGCCTCAAGGGCATTCTGTCATGTGCCCCAAGGAACAGGCGGTGTACAGCTCAGTGTGCAGGGATGAGATGCTGCAGGATGGATGCTTTCATATAAGCATCCCTTCAGACTCCTCTACTTCCCTGTATATGAGTAGGATACCTATGAAAGATTTTTATTCTACTGAAGCTGTAAGACATTGCTTACTGAAGGAAGAAATTCTTGGTGTCCTGATCTGCACTGGGGCCTTTCCTGATGTACAGAAGGCCATTTCTCAACACAAATAATGTTCAAGAAGTTTACTTTGTGTCCTAACAGCATAGGAAATGTGGCTCTCCTTCTCTCTGGTGTGTTATGGCACGTGATGTTCTGGCAGCTGCAGTGGGAATCCCTGCCGTGAGATGCTCCTCACTAGATTTCACAGTTACTAATTCTCCTCTACACACTCTTTGAGTTTATTTATTTGTGGGGGGAAAGGGAGGGTAGAAGGAAAGTCAGACCTGGTGTCTGAAGATTGTAGAGTAGATGCAGTTTCCAGGCTTGTTTGGGAAGTCAAAATTAATTGACTTTTCAGATACGATCTAAAAAGTAAAAGCTGGCTGTGTAACATGTAGGTTTCTGTCTTTAAAGCAAAACCCTGCATCCATTCAATGAGGTCCTGATTCTGAACACACACTGCACAAGTTAGCATTCTCATCGCAAAAAAAGATTAGCCAGCTTTTGCATGGAAGAATATCTTGGGAGCTCATTTCACAAGCTTGGCAGCGTATGGTATGATAGAACTGGAATTACATGCTCCCTTTCTGTTTGATACCTGGCTTTATCCCCATGAAGAAGAGTGGTTATTTCTTGTCACTGAATAACACCATGCCCATGTGCAGACCCAAGACTGAGAATTTAGTGTCTCAGTGTACTTGGGTTGCTGCCTCTCTCAGAGCAGTGCGAAACTTTGCTATTGAAGCTTCTTGTTTCCACTTGTCAATATTTGACAGTTTCCCTACAACTGATGCTGTACTGCATCAATTCTGAGTACTCTGTGCTGTGACAGTTTGAAGGTCCAACCAAGATATGCCTAGCCACTTGTCTCCTGATATAATTATGTCTGCAAGAGCCACGCTTCTTTATTAGCTCACATTGGATACTGATTTACTGCTGCTGCTGGGTTTTGTTTTTTTGTTTTTTTGTTTTTCCCTGGGCCATTAAGCTGTCAGTATTGCTGTCTTGCCTATGGCAGCACATCCATTGTCTTTGTTGATTCATTCATCTTCCTCTCTGGGAGGAGAGAACAGCAGTGAGAAAGCAAGTTGGTCGTCCTCATGGTTGGCAACTACTCCACCGATACAGAACTTCCAGGCTGAGAAATAAATTCTGAAATCGCAATACTCAAAAATAAATAAATAAATAAATTGGAGGTCAGATCCCTAAAGCATTCAAGATCTGATTTAAAAAAAAAAAAAAAAGCATCTTCGTGTTTTCTGTCTAATGAAGTTGAAGGATTGGGGAGAGACCCCTCCAAGATCTCACTGTCATAAGGCTGTATACAAGCTTGTTGTAGTTCCCATTCCTCAGCATTGCTCTTGAAAACACACCAATCCCATAACATGTTTATCCAGAACATTTGACAAAGCAGGAAGTCCAAAAACTATACAAAAGGCTATTCATCAAAAGTGTTACTTATCTTCAAGTTTCCAAAGAAATTATCAGTCTCTTTCTTTTCAAGCAGGAAGACTTTGTTCTGTACATTTTGATGTAGTTCTGTGTTCTAAGCTAGAGACAACAGTCCCCTTTTTACAATAAGCATTAATGAGTTCAGATGAAGACACAGCAGTCTTGGACTTGTTATAATTTGAACAAATAAAAAATCCATGATCTTGAACTAGATTGAGGGTAAATGATGTCAGTCAAATGACACTGCATCTCTGGACCTCACTGTCCTCTACATGAAAGAGGATGACAGGGTTAAACACAACTTATACTTGTGAAAGGTGAATGCTAATCAAAGTGGCTGCTTACAGACCTAACCCCCCCGCCCATGGCGCTTTTCCTTAAACTTTGCATGCCCTAATGTCGATACCAACACATACCCAAAAGAGGCATTGTGTTAGTTGGACCTGGCTTGCCCAATGTCTGTATAGATTGAGCTCTTTAGTGGGGCTTTTTTTTTTTTTTATTGTGAATCAGCTATTAGAGAAAAGCTCCAAAAAGCCCCACTGAAGTGCCCTATCTGTATAGATGCTGCAGAGCAGGGTCAAACTAATGCACTGTTGCTTCTGCTAAAACGTGTTGGGGTTTTTTTGGGGGAGGGGTGGGCTTCACATCTGTCAGCAGCCAGTAAGAAGACCATCAAGGAAGTCATTCTCTGACCTGATGTTTTCAATTCTTCCTCCTAGGGGCCAACTTCATCAGCAGTGCTGTGAGAAGTGGACACAAGTGAATGATGAAACTCAAGCTAAGATGGCTAGGATGGCTGCTGCTGCTGCCTGGGGTTTAGGTAACATATCCTTTCCAGCTTTAGTGATGTGACAGCATGTTCTCTTGGTCCTTGTAGCATGAGACAGGGTACGTAGGAGTTCTTCACAGCTCACTACAAATGAAAAGGGGCCCAAGTTCAAATGGGAAGAATGCTTCAAGTAAAAAAATGTGTAGGTGGAACATTAAATGGTTTTGAATCATGGGGGATTTCTAACAAGTGAGGTTCTTCTGTAGTTCCCTCTGTCATCCCAAGACACCTGCATGGGGGACATTCTGTTCTCCAAAGCAGTGCTGTAGAACTCCAGTTTAGTTTCTTTCAAAGGGTCTAATAGCACTGTGGAACCCAGCCCTTGGTACTGAGAGCATAGCCCTGTTGTAATCCAACTCTGTAACGGTTTGAGAGAGGGCTGTTGTATCATCAGGGATATCCATGTCTCTGCAGGTCAGTGGGACAGCATGGAGGAATATACCTGTATGATCCCAAGGGACACCCATGATGGGGCCTTCTACAGGGCTGTACTGGCACTTCATCAGGATCTCTTTTCATTAGCCCAGCAGGTATGTGCCTTTCTTCATGACTTCATGCCTGTACATTCCTACTGAAGATCACGTGCTCTTCCATGCAAACAAGGAATTTCTATGACAGCAGATAGTTGTAACCCAGAAATAACTTGCTTCCAGTTGACATTCTTATCCCCAACTGCTGAGCTTGTCTTTTCTTTCTCAGAATACTGTAGTAGATGTCTATCAAGGCAACATTGGCTTCAAGGGTACAATCAAGGGTTGTAGAATGCTAACTACCATAGTCATTTGGCTGTTTTTACTGGTAGGCACATTTGGCAAGCAAGAGGAAGTTGCAAGAAATATCGTATCTGTTAAACCTATTCTATAAAACAGTCTTCTGTTAAGAGGACAGATGGCAGAAGACTTGCATAGCAGAATCTCCTTGTCATCACGTGTGTTCATGTGTCTACCAACCCTTTTCAGTCCATGAGATGTTGCAGTGGATTCCTAGTTCTCTTTTACCTTCTAGAAATAGGAAAAACCTTTAATTCTTAGACTAGGAGTAATTCTTAGACTAGGAGTAGGAATGAGGGGATCCTGCTGAGCAGAAATATGTTGATCCAAGTGCATCTGTGACATGTCACTCACAGGTCCTGTTTTCACTGTGCAGCTGTGAAGCACACTGATTACTTCTGAGGACACTTGTGTAGTGTTTCTCAGAATTCTGTGCTGACTTGTACAACTAGATAAAGAAGTCATCCAATCTGCCCTGTCAGAACCCATACACAAATCTTTAATGATGTGCATAAGCAAATTAGCCAAGCATTTAAAATACCAGGATTTGTAATTAACCTTTAACATTTTGAAAGGGAAAAGCTACAGATGAGAGATTTATATAATTAGTGGCATCAGAGCAGGACCCTGTTTCATGCCTCCAGTGCGTTTTTTGGGTTTTTTTGCACTGAGAGAAGTAGATTTTGCAAGGTCTGTAAAGCTAATAAAAACTTACTGGGGCATGTAGAAGGGTGAGCCTGTCTTAGGTAATTTTACGTTACCACGAAGCCAAAACTCTTGAGCCTTTTATGCAGCTGGGTGTTTTGCACACAAACTTCTTTCCTCCGTGGTAGCTGGTGAGCTCTGCAAGGATACTGGGGTCAAAAGCCCTGTAAACTTTGGTATCTAATGACCATTGGACTGGTCATATTCAGGTTATAAATGTAGTTCCCTTTTTTACCTGCATCTAATACTGGATTCTCCAGCTACCTGTTAGTTTCCATTTTAGAGTTAATTCTCCCTGCAGGTGACCATCCTTTCCAACCATGACAGTATAATGTAGTGACACTTCATTATGGAATTGTTGAAGGGGATCACTTTAGTGGCCATGTAAGATGTAGCTGCCTTTAGACAAAGCACATCAGTGACATCTCCACTTCTGTTCCAGTGCATCGACAAAGCCAGAGACCTGTTGGATGCTGAGCTGACTGCCATGGCAGGAGAGAGCTACAGTCGGGCCTATGGGGTGAGTTTCTGATGTGGAGCCTTAATATGTTGATCAGAACTTCCTTGCTGTGTTCATTTTCTAGTTATAGGGTCCGTCCAGGTTATACAGACTTCAAATGGCCCTTTGGATTTTGAGGGTCTTAATGAAAGGGTCTGAATCCATAGAGAAGCAGAGTAAGAAACAAGTCTAACTGGTGCACTGGAACTTGGCTTCTCACAGCCAGCCCTTGCCTCTGCCCCTGCCCGAGTCCAGAAGTTAATTCCTGGCTCTGTGGAGAAGCCAAGACCTAACTTCTGTCTTTTTCAGTAGGAAGTCATTCTTTAAACTAGGATTCAGTTTGAGTTTTGTACTATTGCAGGGGAAGTTCAGGATCAAGTGAAAACACAAGTGAAATTCTCTTGTTTCCACCCACCCCTGCAAAATTCGGAACTGGGGGTTCCTTGTTAGATCTCTTTGAAGAAGTGTGGGAGACAGTGGATTATCAAGGTCTTTATGAGAGCTGCTTGTTTTTTCCATCTTGGTCAGTAGATAAACCTAGGATTTTGATGTCAAGTTAAGTATAGATCTTTGACTGTGGATTCATTGTGCAGCAATTGGAATGGAATGTAATTATTTCCTTCAGGCTATGGTATCCTGCCAGATGCTGTCGGAGCTGGAAGAGGTTATCCAGTATAAACTTGTCCCAGAACGGCGCGAGATCATCCGCCAGATATGGTGGGAGAGACTGCAGGTAAATCTGCCTCAAAAAACAGTATGCTTGCAGCCAGATGTTTGGGCTCTTATACACTGAGCAGCAACAACTCCTGGTAATATCCCAGACATAGGCACTCAGCACCTCTCTCTTGCCCGAGTGGCATTCACCACCTGTTTCCTTCACAGAAGTGTCTTGTATAGATTTAAAGTCAGTACCTCCTGGAGTTGTAGTGGTACAGACAATCATTTTAAAGCTCTGTATGAAAACTGGCCTTCTCCAAAGCTGGTTCTGATGGGAGCAGTGTGCAACAGAAGTATCTGTGAAACCTCCATGGCTGTTTTTCTGAACACTTGCTCTGGTGTGCAGGTGTTAAGCTAGGACACATCTAGCATATAGACACACCACCTTATCAAAGTTCATTATCTTCCTGCCTGCATTTTAAAGAGGGGTGAGTGTTCTGCTTAAGAAACATGAGCAAGTGATCAGGAAGAAGAATATTGGGAAGCCAGCTGCTGCAGCTATACACAAAGACTCACAGGAAACCTCTCTCTTTATAGGGCACCTCACCCACTCTCCAAGCAGTGCAGCATTGTTCCATGCTGTTTTCCTTTGATTTGCCCTGTCCAGTGTGAAATGGCCTAAGCCACAGACCTCTCCCTCCCACAGGGAAGCTAATTCATCTCTTTCCTCCCAAGACTTAAGACTCCTCTGAATGGGTATCTTTTCAGAAGGGAGCTCTTGCATAAAAAAAGACTTCTGTATGAAGCAGAGCATGCAGAACCTTCCAGCACCATTCAGAGATGTTCCTTTTTGAGGACAGGTATAGTCAGAACACAATGTTCATATCGCTTGGGACTTAAGTGTTCTGTCTAGAGGAAGAATTTCTCCCTCCTCCTCCACCTCTGTGCCTCCATGCCAAACACTAATGACCTGTTGCTGCTGTGAGCTCTTCAGCCATTTGGGAAGCTGTGACAGAGCTTTTCACCTCCAAGCTGCATTCCTGTCTGGAAAAGCTCAAAGACTATTTTGCTGGAGAGGAAAGGCTGTGAGTGACTGGGAGGGTAATGTCTATGAATACAGCTCTTTATGGTCCTGAAAAACAGTACATGCAGTTCTTGCACGTTTTATAGCATCTCTGTTAAAAATTTGCGAAATCCAGTTGGCCAATTTGATGGAAGGTTTATTTAGGTGTTGAAGAACAGGCTTTCATTGCCTAATGTGCCCAAACCCAGTCTGCAAGAGATGGGGGGCCAAAAGCATGGAGTAAGAAGGTGCTTAACCGTATTGGACAAAGTCCACTGTCCACCTTGGCGGTGGTGTAAGTCTGAACAGATTCTGGCTGTACCTAAACTCTGAAGTCCTCAAATACCCTTTTATCCCACCCTTGAAGGACTTGATCAACCGGGTGAGCTCAAGCCACAATAGATGGCCAGCACCACTTGGGGATAGCCATGACTCCCCACCACTCTGCCTTTGACACTGTAGTATCCACGTGCCCTACAGTTTCAGTGCCAGATCATGCTGTGCAGCCTCTTCTGGCAGTCATCCCCTACCCTAGTATATGGCCATGCAGTTCCTATCAAGTCAATCCCCTCGGTCTGTAAAAATCAGCAGCAAGCAAGGACAAAAGAAGGGACAGGAACAGAAATGTAGCTTTGCAGCTTTTTTTTAAGAACTGGTTTTTTTGTTATTGTTGTTGCACCTTCTGACATTGGAACAAGCCAAGGCTGAGACCAAAATAGAGCTTCAGGCCAGGTTAGGAAACGTTGTGAAACCCCTGCCTGGTTATTTTGACAGCACAGGAATAGCTGCCGAGCTTTTGGATCCACTCCTGCTGTACAAAGCCATGCTTTTTCCATTAGACGATGCCATTTGACTTAGAGCCGCAAGTTGGCTATTCATGAAGTTCTGACCACTAAACCAAAGGCATAGGAGCTTATCCTTATTTATACATAGCAAAATTAAGAATGTGACCAGTCAGTGCCCTATTTCTGTTTGCTGTGAAATCCAAGTACAGCACTCTCTCCTGTCTTGTAATGGTGTCTTTAGTTCTGGAGCTATAAGTGGGAGAGGATGATCCCAGAGGAAGAGACAACAAGAATAAGTTCTGTCTGTTTTTGCCCAGGGCTGCCAGCGGATTGTGGAGGACTGGCAGAGAATTCTTATGGTTCGGTCCCTTGTGGTCAGTCCTCATGAGGACATGAGGACTTGGCTCAAGTACGCCAGTCTGTGTGGCAAGAGTGGAAGACTGGTGAGTCCTGTCAAGCCCTTAGTTTCAACTCCAGCTTTCTAGACCCTTGGCTTCACCATTCCATGTTAGCTAGAAACTTCTCCCAGCTTCCTTGTTCTCTAAGTAAAATGTATGAGGAGACTGGTTAGAAGCTGCCAAAACTGGAGTCTGCCTGGATTTGGAGCTTCGTGGACACAACACTGTCCTCGAGGGAACAGCATTGAACCTGACAGAAACTTCCAGCCAAGCTTCATTCCTGTGCTGGGCTAGTAAACTCTCATGTAGCATGGGTAACATTAATCATCCTTGGCTCTTTTTGTAGCACTTTCTGTCATATTTAGGAAGTTATGTTAGTATCATTATGTTACGGTCCTAGTTTGGACAGTCACTGCAGTAGTATTTATCCCCCCC